CAATACACCAATCAGCATTCATCTGTTTTATATTAGTTGTAATGAAAACCTGAAAGAAAATATACGCATATACCAAGCAGAAAACAATGAGGTTTGTATGGTTTGATGGTGTCAGTGATATAATTATAGTTCTGATTTTGTCCAGTTTAATTAAAATGCTCTGTCAGTGGAATTTGCTGAAGTAGGATATGGCATATTGTCAGCTTCGTCCTAGTAGTGTTAAGTTTAATTGCTAAGAGGACAAGGGCAATTTAAGCGACCCTTTGGGTAATTGTGGGACAATACTTGTATCGCACTGTCACCAGATATATTACTGGTCCCCTCTCTGTTTGTCTACCCAGGATGAGAATGTCAAGTCTGGAAAGGCTATACATTGGTGGGGATTGAGGTTAGGAGTGTGATAAAACCTCACACTCTAACTGTTTATATTTGATATAATCCTCACATGTAAACCTCTAAAGCAACTAACCACTGATATGATGTGTGTGGTGGGCAGTACAACGTAGTTGTTTTTTGAATGCTGGGTAATTGGGGGCTGGTGTGAGACACCTACTGTAATAGTTTTTGTTAACTCTTAACAGACAGCGCACTGGTGTTGTATTTTGAATAACCTGTTATGATGTTTGGTGTGTTTTGGTTTGGTATGTGTTATAAATGATACATATTGTCAGAGAAGGTAAGCACGAAAAAAAAAATGTATGCACACACTGAATTGCTGTTGTCTTAATTGGTTGTTTGGAAGAGCAGATCTCAATTAATACTAACAGTTCTTAGCTCCTCCCTTAAGACTTTATAACATTTCCTATAACATTTCATGTTATTTCACACTTTTAATTGCACTGTCTGCATAATATCTTGTTGCACACCACTAATATATATCCTTCAAAAAAAATTAAATCAATGTGAACTAGATCTGTTCTAATTGAATCATTTTTGTCATTTCCACAGATGAGAATGGATGGCCCACCAGCACAGCCTGCTAGAGCCTCTTACCCTCTACAACTTCCCCAACTGCCCCAATCTCTCCAATCTCGTAGCAGCTACAGTGGTGTGTCCCCAGTGTCCCCCTCCTCGCCCCCCTCGCCCCC